TCTCCCGTTGTGGAGCCCAGGCTCCGGACGCGCAGGCTCAGCGGCCACGCCTCACGGGTGCAGCCACTCCGCGGCATGTGGGATCCTCCCGGACCGGGGCACGAACCCGCGTCCCCTGCATCGGGGCGGACTTTCAACCACTGTGCCATCAGGGAAGCCCTGCAGAGTTTCTTAATCAAGGATGCTTGGTATCTCGGGGTTTGTGATCTTACAGCTCCTGCTCTGCGTGTGTCCATAGTGTACAGACTAGCAGAGAAATATCCTCGGTCACAGAATATTACATCTGGAAAGATCCTCACTATGGATGAGGAATCTGAGAATGTGTGACTGGCCCAATATTACACAGCAAGGTAGTGACCAATTCAGGACCAGAACCCCGGGTCCTGGCTCTGCCCACGAGGGGTATGCAGCACACATAAATAAATAAAATGCCATATGCCAGTATCAGCCTTCTCCCCATCCACAGATGACCTTCCTCTAGAGTGTTTGGGAAAGAGGAGTGTATCAGTTAGTCATGCCAGGTTATGCTGCAGCAACAAATATCCCCAGTCTCATGGGCTTACATCAAATTAGGTCTACTTCTCATGCACGCTACCCATCCACAGCCCCCTGAGACCCGGCCTGCCGGAGCAGCCCCATCTGGAGAGTGCCAATCACCACACAGAGAAAAGGAGAGCTCTGGAGGGTCTCTGCCGGGCAATGAAAAGATCCAGAGCCAAAGGGGCCCTCTGCTCAGAAGTCGCTGGCCAGAGGTGGTCACAGCACCCCACCCAGCCCCAAGGGGACCAGGAAGTGTGGGCCTTCTGTGTGCTCGGGAAGCAGGGAGCAGGAGACCATCGTGATTTTAGGGACTTATCTTGAGTCTGTGCCCGTTGCAGCCCTGGCACATGCTCCTCTGTCCAGCAGCCTCCCCACTTCTCCCAGCCTCCCCAAGAGTACTGCCCACTTCACTGCTGGACATGCCTGAGCTTTGGGAACACGATTCCCTGCTGGAAGGCTGCTCCCCTCCACTCGGGCCCTTGCAGAGGGGCCCACACGGGCCGCCCACACTCCCAAGGCAAGCGCTGCGGAACTGCAAGGAGAAAGGGAATTCTTCATCCCCCCTCCCCCCTTCTTCCTTTCATTCTTGTGTGTGTGCACGCGTGCGTGTTTTAATGTGGTAAAACACACGTAACATAACATTTACTGTCGTAACCACATCTAAGTCTACAGTGAGCGTTGTTAAGCACACTGACGTTGCAAAACCGAAACTCGGGACTCCCCTGACAGACCAGTGGTTGAGGCTCCGCGCTTCCAATGCGGGGGATGCGGGTCCGATCCCTGGTCAGGGAACTAGGGTCCCACATGCCGTGTGGTGTGCCCCCCGGACCCCCCGCCAAAAAAAGTTTTAAAAAAAGGAAACTGAAACTCTGTCCCCATAAACATTGACTCCACATCCCCTCCCCCTGCCCCTGGTCCCCACCATCTACTTTCTGTCTTGATGAACTTGACTCCTCATATAAGTGGAATCCTACAATATTTGTCCTTGTGACTAGCTTGTTTCACTTAGAAAGGCTCATCCCCGGTGTAGCACGTCAGAATGTCCTTCCTTTTGAAGGCTGAGTCATATTTCATTGAATGGAGGGACCACGTTTTGCTTATCCGCCGTCCACTGATGGACACCCTCCCCTCCCGCAGCTGTACATAGTTTTCACTGCTGTCCCATCACATCAAGGACTGTGTTCCCAAGAATATAGGTCCTGGGGACACACACACACACACACACACACACACACACACACACACACACCCCAACAGCCAATTTCCCTTCCTCCCTCCCCCCCAACCCGGCAGGAGTTCCGACTCTACCAGCAATGTTCCTGGAACCAGCTATCCCTTGAGACTGTGGGCCTCTAGGGTGGTGGGCAGGGAGCCTGTATCCTGTGTGCCCTTTACTCCCTGAAGGTCTGAGTCCAGCTCCTCTGGTGGGGAGAGGAGGCCAGCAGACACTGGAGGGCTTACAAGGCCCCAGCGGAGGGGAGTGTGGAGGTGGGCGGCAGGGTCTGGAGTGCAGCTCTCAGACTCCCCGCTGCCTGGGGACAAAACTTGGCAAAAGCGACGGCTCTGTGCTGGCTAACTGACCTCGGAGTGGCGGGCAGCCTCTCTGCGACAGATCGGCTTGTCACCAGCAGAGGTGGGGACTGTGCTGACGTCACACCCAGCGGTTGCTGGTTCCACTTATCGCCACCCCGACCCCGGTCAGCAGGTGACCTGCAGGAGGTCTGTCTACCGAAGAGTTAATAAGGCACCACCAGTCACACATTTTAAAGAGGCCTTCAAGGTTGTACGTCAGCACAGCTGGTTTCCTCGTCATCCTATCATTTTATTGTGAAACACTATTCTAAGACAGTGTCCCTGGGCTTCCCGGGACGCCCGAAGGAGGTACACAGGGCAGGTCAAGACCCCCCCGAGCTGGAGAATGGCCCCCACTCAGTGCCGATGGAGAGTCCCCAAGTGTGTTTTTTAAATAACATCTTTTTCACTTCCCCCAGATCTCCTGGACGTGCAGCTCTCCGTGGCCCCTCGTACCCCCTTCACCGTGAGCACATCCTCTCCACAGCGAGCACCCCTGCTGCAGGTTGCTGGACACGACGGGACAGACGTCCTACTCTGACTACAAGGGATGTTCCGCCATCTGCTTTTTGGCTGTTCCGCCTGAAGTGCTGTTGACTTTCATTATTTAGCGGGACCTTCCATTCCAGATGCCTTCGGAACACCCGCCTCAGAGCCCGAGCGCAGCCGCATAGCTCACAGCACGCGGACCCCCAGCATCTGGCCGAAATGCAGATCCAGCATCAGCAGGTGTGGACTGGCCTGAGACTCTGCATCTGAGAGGCAAAGGCAAGGCGAGCGTGGTCATCAGGGTCCCCTGGAAGACCTATAACAAATAAACCAGAAAAAGACAAAAACAGTGAGCTGGTCTCTTGCACCCCAGCCCTGGAGATGCAGACGGACCATCCTCTGAAGAAGGCTCCCCTGCTCATGCTGAGGCCAGATCAACCTTCAATTAACTGAGCAACCAGCATGTGCTGGGCACTGACCTGGGGCTGAGGGCTCAGTGGGAACAGGGCAGGGGGGCCTCCTGGCCACATGGGGCTGCCTTCTAGTGGGGAGAAAAGCTAATAACAAATTCATTTCTTCCAGAGGGGTCTCCCATGAGCTAAAACCTCCGAGCCTCTCTTGGGCTCTGGTCCCTCCAAGGCAGAGGTAGTTTATCCACTGTCTCTTTCCACTCTGCTGTGAAAGAAAACCGCACCACATAAGCTTCCGACCGCACAGTCCCTGTTTCCACCCTTAATTACAGAGTGACAAGTGCCGTGAATGGGTGGGGAAACAGGAGGTGGGGAGAGGACTCGGGGGTGGGAGGTGGGTAGGTCGGTGGGGCGGACACAGGGCCATAGGCCGGCCTTGGCCACAGCTAGCTTGGGGCTTGGCCTGAGCTCCCTGGTGGCCAAAGTGAGACACGGTCGGTGATGTGACCTTCATTGTAAGGTTTGGTTCTTGGATGGGACACCTGGGTTTCATCTTAAACCAAGGCCCATACGTCTGTACGTGAAGGTTCTGTGGATTTGGGGGGAACAGCAATAGCTGGTTTTCTATCTGAATTTATGTGTTCCCTGGTCCTGATTTTTCATTTATAAGTTACCAATTTATAGCAAGATGTTTTGATGTAGAGTACCTCAAACATTTTTCGAACAAGTGGGTTCAACACATGGACACACTCAAAGCCCACCTTGATGGGATACCCCTTTATGGGGGGAGCGGGGGCAGCCCCAGCTGGAGGCCCCGCCTGGGTGTCTGGAGCTGCTGCGGGACCCAGGCTCAGCAGCCACCCCCTCCCCGGGTTCTGTCTCCGCACTGCTGGGAAGGCACGGCTGGCCGGTGTCTGGGGCTCCCCTTCCGCCTGGGGTGGAGGGATTGGTCAAAGAGCTCAGGGCCCCCCACAGACAAAGGTCATGCCTGGGCGTGGGGCCCTGTGCCAGCAGAGTCCCCAGGTATCAGAGCAGGCCCAGCAGCCCATGAGGTGGCAGTGCTCAGACCTCCACGATAGAGCCCCCGACACTTGGGAGGTGAGGGCAGGACAGGGCCCAGTGCCGGGGCGGTGGGGAGGGAATAGAGCCCAGGCAGACAGCCCCCTCCTTCAGCCTCTGCCCTTTGTCTGGTCCTTCCGTCTCGAGGGGAGCCTGCCCATAATACTCCCCACCCCACCCCAGGCTCAGCCGGTCCCAGGCCTATCCCGGGTTCCGTAAGGGAGCTGGGAGCCAAGCAGGGCGGTTCAGGGATCTCAGCCCCATCAGCGGAGCTGAGTGGCCACATTCTCGTTGGTCCTCAGACCGGGGATGGGCTTCCGGCCCCATCCCCCACACCTGGCTCCTCTGAGGCTGGCTCACTTCCGCTCTCCCGGCCACGGCCCCTGGGCACCTTCCCAGTGCTGAGGAGCCACGAGGCCCCGTGCAGTCAGTACGTCCCCAGATCAGGCCACGAAGCTTCGCTCCTACCCTGCCATCCCCTGCGCACCCCTCCCTGGGCTGGAGCAGGGGCTCCTGGCTCGCTTTTCCCACTCGACAGGAGAAACTTGTCCCCCCAGGTGGCTCCCCCCACAGACCCCCGTGGGCTGACACTTCTCACCAAGCGCCCACCTCCCTTCCCTGACCACCCGACTCCCAGCAACCCCCAATCACCGGCTCACGCACCCTGGGTCTGTCCTGTTATCTGCTCGTAGGGCACCCACATCCCACCTCCAACCAAAGGTTAACTCCGCGAGAGGGGAGTCCTGGGAACGGGGTCGGGGGTCTCCCCGCCTAGCCCGGAAGGCCCCCTCCAGAGGCCCAGAGCCGGCCCTGGGAACCTGAGCCCTCTGGGAGCGGGAAGGGGAGACCCCAGTGAGGCCGGGTGCAGCCCGAGGGTGAGGACCCTGGAAGAACGTCCTCAGGGCCTGGCATCACAGACACAGCTCGAGAGCCGGGCAGACAAGTTTTATTCCACCCGCTTCCCGCCCACGGCCACACCAGGCCGAGCGAGGACGGGCTGCGTGGAGGGTCTGGGACAGAGGTGCACACAGGAGGTCACGCTGTGGCCCGAGGCGAGTGGGGGGCAGGGAGGCAGTTCTGCGACTGACCCTGGGGGTCTCTCTGGGGTCCTGGCCGAGCTGAGGGGTTCACAGTCTGCATGGTGTGGACACTGGAGGGCTGAGCAGGCTGGGGCGCAGGGAACGGCCAGGTCTGCTCCACGCACAGGAGGCTGCCCTGCACCTGCTGAGCCCCTGACGCCCCAGAACAAAGGTGCCGGGGTCTCGGGCGGCGACGGTCTTTTCGACAAAGACTCAGGAATGCCAAAGTGGCTGAGGCCGACAGGGGACTGGACGGGACAGAGTAGAAAACTCTCACACTCACGCACCGCACAGGCGTACACGCGGGGTCAGTAAAAACACAAGGCCTGGGTCACACGACGCTCTGCCGGCCCCCTGCCCCCTCAGACTCAGACGTGCCACAGCCACCGCCCCGCCCAAAGTCAATGAAGATCCCTTCCGAACCCGAGTCGACTGACTCCAGGATCTGGTCCACCAGGTTCTCGGGGCTGGAGGAGGCTGGTGAGCTGCGGGCCGGGCCTGGGCCAGGCTCACGGGGCTGCGCTGGGGGGTACAGTCTGCTGGGGCAGGGCCCCGACGGGGGCGCTGGGGAGGGTCTGAAGGTCCCAGCAGGGTCCTGGCCGGGTGTGTCAGCAAAGCCCTGGGGCTCGGGGCAGGACGTCATCTCGGAGACCGAGTGCCTGCGGATGCCTGTGGCGCCGGCCACCGCACCCTCGGCCTCGTGCTCCGCCACGGGGTTCAGCAGTGGCGTGTTGTAGCTCTTGGACCGCACCACCGGGTTCTTGGCCAGGATGTCCCCCGATCGGGAGCGGCGCAGGAAGTGCTTCTCTGCATACAGACAGACAGACAGGGCATCAGGCAGGGGGCCAGGGTGGGGCTGGCCAGATGCTAGGGAACACCCACTGCAAGCACCTACTTTGCGCCCAGCTCTGCAGGAAGGGACCGCTACAGGGAAAAGCCCGACCGGTGTAGATCCTGCTGGGGCAGCCTGGAGGGGAGTTGGGGTTTCCTCCCCAGCTGATACTAGGTCCATCCCTACGTGACCTCCTTCTCTCCTCGGTCTGGCCTCTCAGCCTGGAATGGGGGCAGGGGGCCTCAAGTCAACCGCCTGGGTTCAAACATGCACCTTGCCAGTGACCTGTGCACGTGCCTCAGTTTCCTCACCTGCGGAAAGTCAACAAACCCAAGCACTTGCTAAGGCAGACACAGCCCCTGTCCTCAGAGCTGGAGTCCTACTGTGTGTGTGTGGGACTAGAAACTCCTCTGGGTGGGCCACAGGTCGGGCGGTGGCAAGTGCCCGGATGGGGCAGCACATGAGGTCAGGGCTGGGGTTTATTCTGAGTGTGGGGGGTGACCCCGGGGGTGGGAGAGGACGGATATAGGGGCAGGTCTCAGGCTCCCACTCAGGACCCTGCAGTTCCAGAGTTGACCACCAGGTGGCAGGGCTGAGAGGGATGAACCAGAGGCTGTCCCGGACACAGGCTCCCTCTTTGCCTGGCAGGGGTCTCGGTGTCCAGGGCCACACAGACCTCAAAGTTCCTCCAGCTGCTGGAGCCCCGCCGGAGCCGGGACATGCTAGCTGGGCAGGTTTTATAACTGCAGGTGGGTGGGCCCTCTGGACGAGGGGACACTCCTGATGAGCTCTCGTACCGCTGTCCCCTTGGTTCTCTTCATGCATTTCTTCCCAGGCCTGGATCCTCCCTGCCCTTCAGCTCCCAGTCTGGCCTTCCCTGAGCTCCCCGCCCATGGCCCTCATGTCACCTGGGCACTGGTCCCCTTGGGCACTCATCTGGGGATGGTTTACTCATTGGTCTGCCTCCCCTGGTGGACAAGAGCAAATGAGGGTGGGGCTTGGTCTCTGCTGAACCCTCAGGACCAAGAACAGGGGCTGGCGCACAGTAGGCGTTCAGTTTACAGTGCTGAACGAACCGACGGGGCCAGGCAGCCCCAGGACGCCCAGCCATGCCCACTTCACAACCCCTCCACACCCCCCGTGAGTCCCCAAATAAGCCAGGACTTCTTCGGCTCCGGGCCTTTGCACGTGCTGGGTCCTCTCCCTCGTCAACTCCTGACTTTCAGGACTGAGCTCGGATGTGACCTCCGTGGCGGGTGCGGGGGTCTCTGCCGGGCTCTCAGGGGAGTCACTGCAGCACCACTTGTGACGTCAGCCCTTGAAGGAGGGACCCCACGTGACCCACCCTTTGCCCGGTGCCCCGCACACAGCACGGCCGGTGGATGCTCAGGACAGGTTTGCCGTGGCTGCACATCTGGTTCTGCATGACTCCCCTGGGAGGCCTGGGCCCCCGACCGGGCAGAGGTGGATGGGGCCAGGGGTCACCCTGCTCCCACCCACGCCCAGGCGACACCTACCCAGGATGCAGGAGTGTGTGAAGGCACCCTCGCTGGAGTAGAGGCCGTAGGTGCCCAGGTAGGGCGACACCACCTTCTGGATCAGCGTCTCCAGGCGCAGGTAGTCCTTGGTCACTCCCCGGGACTCGTGCACCCCCTGCAAGAGGGAGGGGTGCGGGGGTCCGCCGGTCGGCCTGTTCCCTGCCTCCCTAGCCCAGCCGTGCTTAGCTCAAAGGCCACCACGAACGGCGCCCTCCCCCTCCCCCGGGGTCCTGGCCCCCGTGGTGGTGGCCCCGCACCCTCCCTTCCCAGCCGTCTCTCGGGTTGGGGCCTCTGAGCCACCCTCCTGCTTTAACGTCCTCGTGGCTGCCCGCTGCACACAGGAGCCGGCGTGGCTGGGAGACCATGATGCCTGCGGGAAAGGGGTCTGTGGCCAAATTAGGTTGGGCACCCTGCACCTCCCTCTCGGGACAGTTGTGTGTCCCCTTCCGTGAGCTGGCTTCCCAGAGGCTCTGGGCAGTCCTGCGGGGCCAAGCTCATTCACCTGGACCCGCACCCTTACTCCCTCGCCCCAAGGAGCACTGTAGGCAGGACAGGCTGCCCCCCTGGGCCAGGCCCAGGTCCAGGTCTGTATCCAAGCTGAGCGGTCAAGGCCCGTCCATCTGATAGAGCCGCCCCTCCCCCTCCCACACTGCTTCCCCAGCCAGGCACCGTCCAGCCCCTCGCAACACCTCCCCTCATTCATAGCTTTGAAGGGTTTTCCACCCCTCCCATTTCACTGGAGCCAAAGCCTGGAAAATGAGGCTGCCCACGGGACAGCCGTGGCCTTGCCCACTCAGCTGTGAGCTGACCAGGAGGCAAGCTCTGGGTCCCCAGCGACACCGGCAGAGGGCCGGGCACACAGCAGGTTTTTAGTGAGTGCTTGCTGAACGAATGATGTCTCTGAACGCATGAATCATCCCCAAGGGGCTGCCAGCAGTTAAGAAGCAAGATACACCCAGGTTAACGCTGAACGACGATTCAAGACAGCGAGAACCCAACTCTGCACTGCCTACAAGAAACCCACTTAAACTATTAAAGACACACACAGACGAGAAGGGAGTGCAGGATTGTATGTGATGACACGGATCACAGCACGAGCAGCCATGTCAATTTCAGACAGGACAGACTTCAGACCAAAGCAATTTATCAGGGATAAGGAAGGTCATTACCTAACGGTAAAGAGATCACTTCTCCGAGGTGACATAACAATCCCTAATGTGTACGGACCTAACACAGAGCAGGAAACTACGGAGGCAAAAACTGACGGGGCTGCGAGGACAGAGAAATCCATCCTCCTAGCTGGAGGCTTCAACACCCCTCTCAGAAACAGATCCAGCAGGCAGAAAATCAGGAAGGACACAGATGAACCCAACACCACCATCAATCAACTGGATATAACTGACATCTATAGACAACTTGTCCAATGGCAGAATCCATATTCTTCTCAAGCTCACGTGGGACATCCTCCAAGACAGACCACATTCTGGGCCATAAAACACACCTCGACACATTTAAAAGAACAGAAATCGTACAATGTCTGCCCTCAGACCACAAAGAAATTAAACCAGGAATCCATAACACAATGATAACTGAAAACCCCCAAACACATGGAGATTAAACAACTCCCTTCTAAATGACACAGGGGTCAAAGAAGAATTTTTAAATAATTTGAATTAAATGAAAATGAAAACGCCAACGTCCAAATTATCAGGATGCATCGAAGCAGTGCTTAGAGGGAAATTTATAGCACTGAATGGATACATTAGAATATAAAGTCTACAAGCAGTCTTGTAAACTTCCACCTTAGGAAACTAGACAAAGAAGAGCAAATCAAGTCCAAAGTGAGCAGAAGAAAAAAAATAAGAATCAGCAGAAATCAACGGAATTGAAAACAGAAAAATGGATGGAGAAAATCAACAAGACCAAAAGCTTTGAAAAGATCAATAAAATCCACAAGCCTCTAGCCAGACCAGCTACGGACAAGAGAGAGAAGACCCAAACGACTAACATGAGAAACGAAAGCGGGGACATCACTACAGTCTCCACGGATCCAGCTGTGTTTGGACAAGGAGGGGGTGCCCCCAGAAGTCATCCAGATGAACCTGGAGGAGCCGCCCCCGCCCCCAGCAACAGCGCCATGGATGAGGGTGACATTACTGCTGAGCTGTGCTGGGCGTTTCACAAACTTTGTGTCCCTTCATTCCCAGAATTTGTTTCTGGTGTCTGGTCTCTGCTCCCCATTGCCCAGTGAGGAAATGCGGGCCCTGGGGCTGCATTATTTGTGTACCACGCTCAGATGCAGGGCTGATACTCAGCTTCTGGGACCCCGGTGAGAAGGAGCTTTGATTCTGCACGTGAAGCATGGGGCACATAGTAGGCCCTCAAAAGATATGCTGACCAGTAGCTGTGACCTCAGATCCATCTGGGACTTGAAAACAGTGGGGACAAGTTCACCGCAGGGCTGGGACAAGGCCATTCAAAGTGGAGGCCAAGGCGAGAGCAAAGGGTTGTGGTTGGGGGTAGGGGTCGCACCCAGGAGGGGTAGAAGGACACTCTGGGGGAAAATGGGGCCAAGCCCAGAAGCTGCATGAGGCACAGCGACCACCAGGGGGCAGCACCACCCCGGCCTGGCCGCTACCCAGGTGCTGTTCATGGGATCAAGATGAGACCTTATTCCTTGGCTTGAAATCCCAGCCTCATCACTTCCCGCCCCCAAGAGGAAGTGCACCATGGAGGACTTTGTGTCGATTTCTCTTCCTTATCCTTTGAGGAAATAGGCCGAGGGATGCAATGTCCCGCCAGTCGCTGCCCTGCGTGGCCGCCAGGACGACCACCGGCTCCCACCGAGTGTAGCCCCTCGACCCTGCTAACGTCCACATTCATCAGCCCCTTCTTTGCTCTGGAATCTTCAACCAGCTGCCCTGGGCCCCAGGACCAACCTCACAGACATAAATTTAGAAGGACTTCCACGTGCATGGGTGGGTTCAGGACAATGAACAGGGTTGGGAGCCTGTCAGCCTCAGGGAAGGCCAGGCTCCCAGCCATCACAGCTCCGGGCAAGCGAGGACTCTACTTCCCCACCTGTAAAATGGGGTGGTTGATGGTGCTCATCCTGGGGCTGTGACAGTGAGACAGGCTGGCAAACTGTAGGGTGCCGTGCCCGCCACAGGGCTTGGGGCGCAGCAGTTTGCAGAAAGGTCCTTCAGAAATGTCTGGAACCGCTGTGGGGAGTGGGAGGCGGTGGCTCCCAACCCCAGTGACTGACCGATGGGGGAGTAAAGGCCTGGCCCCGCAGCCCTCGAGGGATGCTCCGTCCACACTCCTGGGCTCCCTGTGGGCTCCCGGGCCGGCCTTCTTGTGAACGAACCCACACCTTCGTCCAGCTCCTTCTCAGCCCCCGCTGCTTCCTTCTCCCTCCCAGGTTTCTCCTGGGAGTCCCTCCCCACCCCCGCCCTCCCCCACCGCTGAGAAGTCACGTGGCCCCACACCCACATCTCAGGCGCTGTCTCCGGGGAGCCTGGGACGTGCCGCCTGTGCCCGTCACCGGGCTGAGCGCAGCCCCCACGGGCCCCGCACACCTGCAGCACCAGCAGCATTTGCACGACGGCGGGGGGCACGTGGGCGCGGGTGCGGGCCAGCGCGTCCTCCAGCTTCACACTGAGGGTGATGATGTTCCGGAAGTGCAGCAGAGCCAGCTGGCGCACCGACGGCTCCTTGCCCTGTGGACGTGGGGGCCGCCGCTATCACGCGAGACCCTTGCTCCCCTGCCCCCACCAGTTCTGGGGCCAGATACAGGGACGGACCACTGACCCTCAGGGCCCCTTCCACCCCGTCCTCCTCCCCAGATGACCCTTGTTCTGCGGAGAGAGGGCCCCACGTGGCTCCCTCAGGCAAGGGAAGGGTGACTGTCACACACAGAGCCCCTACTGCATGCCGGGCACGGCCTACTGTGTGCTGCTAAGGGCTTCCCAAGGCTCTGAGCATGGAGCTGGCCTTATGCCCGTCTTGGGGGTGGGGAGCAGGTTCTGGGAGGTCCGGGGGCGAGCGCAGGCGCAGATGGCCCACACGTGGCAACAAGGGCAGAGGTGCGCCCACCCCCAGGCTGGGATCAGCTGTCCCTGTGGCCCAGGAGCCGCTCACCTGCACCGGGTAGAAGACGGCCTGCAGCGTGGGCAGCACGTCGCTGAAGAAGAAATCCCAGGTCTCTGCCAGCGAGTCCAGCAGCTTCTGTCCTGTGGGCACAGGGACCGTCACCATTACCCCAAGGGGCGCCAGCAGACGCTTCCCGCCTTCCCAGGTCACGAGTCACCTCTCCTGGCAGCAGGAGGACGCGGGAGCTGAGGGCCGGGCCCTGGAGGGCCCCCCCACCTGCCAGGGTGATGGGCCCGGATGCCCAGCTTCACCCCCCTGAACCTCAGCTGCCCCACTAATAAAACGGGGCTGTAGCAGGGCGAACCCCTCAGAGCCGACAGGAGGAAAGGAGATGAAGCAGGGCCTGGGGCAGAGAGGTGCCGGTGGGTCTGTTTCCTCTGCACACAAGCCCTACAGGCACAGCCTGACAGGCGCTCCACTCACACCCTTGTCTCATCCGCCCTCCCGCCCCTTCCGCCCACCCATCGGTCTGTTCTTCTGTCCACCCGACAGACATTCACGCAGCAGCTATGCTGTGCCAGGCCTGGCACTGGGGACCCAGCTGAGCCCAAAACTACCCCAGTCCCACCACGCGACAGGGCAGCAGGACAGTGGACAGCCACCCTGGCGAGGGAGGAGTGACCCCCACCGGGCAGATGAAGTGCCTGGGCCTCAGAGAGGTGCGGGTCTCTGCCTCAAGGGCCTGGGTCCCCACCACCCAGGCTGCCGGGGGTGGGATCTGGGGAGCCAGGGAAACCGCATCCAACAGCAGCAATTGGCCCAGGTACGAGGGGGTCACGCAGGGAGAGCTTCCTGGAGGAGGTGGTATCCAAGCTAATTCAGGAGGACCGTTTTGCCTGGTGGACTGAAACCCTTGGCACATGTACCATGGAAGTACACGTGTGGAAAGAAGCCATTTGGACAAGCTCTGTGGGCCTTTCTGCCGGCTCTGGGGAAGCAGCAGCGCCAGTCACAAGGTGGACAGACCCTGGGGGTGGGGACAGCTGAGGTGCCCCCCAGCCGGCTCTGCGCTCCCCTAGGAAACGCCAAGTGCTGAACCCTCAGCCCCTCTGCCTGGAAGGAGCGGAGAGCTGGGATGAAAGGCTGCTGGGTCAGGATAAGCAGGCCTCCGGGACATGTCGCCGAGGCCTCTGCTGCTTGGCGGGACCCCACCTGGAAGCCAGACTAGCGGTTGGCTGGAGAAACACGGCCGTCGTGGTGGGCATCCCCAGGAGTGGAGGGGCCGGGGCCACGGGCTGGCCAGCCTCCCAGAGCGCACCGCCCATGCCTGACTCCTCAAGGTTTCCATGGGAACCAGGAGGTTGGTCAAGGGCCTTTGCCTCTTGTGCTCCCTTTTCCTGGGCTCTGAGCCCCCCACCCCCCTCGCCCCCATAAAGCCCCCGGGGTCTGTGTGGGTGCCGGGCTCTGGGAGGGGAGCCTGGTGGGGGTGACCGTGGAGAGGGCGGGTCCACCTTTCCATGCAGCCCGTCTGCCGGCACTGGAGCACCCTGGCTGGAGGCCAGCTCCTGGTCCGACCGGGGGCCCACACCCCACAGCGGGCTCTATGGAACCCAGGACGGTGGGTGCCTGCCACCCGAGGAGCTCTGCCTGCATACAAAGGTCCCTTGAGGTCCCCGCCGTCACTGGCGAGAAGAAAGGCGGCTCAGTTCCCCGGGCGGCCGTGCGGCGGCTCTGGGCGCGGGCCAGGCGGCGTCTGCGGAGCGCAGGCTGCTCTCCAGCCCGCGGGGCGGAAAGGGGATGTCGTACAGTCCAGGCCCCGCCAGAGCCACACGCCGACCAAGGGGCCAGGAAGCTCGGCTCCGTGCCCTGGCTGGGCTCTCTGCTGCCCGGGAACTGCGGTCTGGGGACACCAGGGTCGTCAGGGGTGAGTCAAGCACACGGCGTCGAAGCCCCGCCCTGGGGCCCCAGGGGGTCCCTCAGCCCGAGCCTCAGTGTGGTCCTCTGTAAAATGGGCGTGATCAACGTGTCCACACTCAAAGGCCAAAAGCTGCCCTGTAGCAAGTGCTCAGCTGTTAGCCTGGCGCTGACTAGCGGGCCCGCGTGGTCTGAGGCCTCGCCGACGCTCAGGAGGACCCACGCCACCCAGCGGCCGTGCCCTTGAGCTGGATCTCCCAGGATGGGGCGTGGGTCAGCCTGTCTGTCTTCCTTTCTTCAGTCCGACTGTGCAGGCCCTGGAGGCGGGAATGCACCAGGCTGATCTCAGCTCAGATCTCAGTGGTGACCACAGGGCAGTTGGAAAGGCCACAGCAGGGGCTTGGAGGAGGGTGGCCAGGCTCGGAGGCGAGCGTGTGAGAGCCGTCGCAGCGCAGTTTGGTGGCCTGACCTTAACAGGCTGGGATTCCCGCAGGGCAGGCAGAGCCCAGGGCCCGGAGCCTGCAGAAACCCCGGGCTCCCCCTCGGAGTCCCAGAGCGTCCGGCTGCTGAGAAGCTACCCCCACTGCAGCTGAGCTCACCGAACCACCACCTTGAATGTGGCCCCAGGGAGGGAGGCCTCCACCTCAAGGCCCCTCCAGGCCTCCCACTTCCAGGAATCACTGTGCTCAGGTTCAAGGCCTTGCTGGAAGCTGGAGGGGGGCAGGTGGCCATGTCCTGGGCTGCCCCTCGTGGGGCTACCCACCACCTCCAGCAGAGGCACGGGCTGAGGACATGGCTGGCCGCAGGGAGTAGTCTTAAGGAAGAGCTCTCCCTGGGACCCGGTAGTAGGCAGAACGGGGAGGCTCCCAAGGCAGCCCCTCGGGGTGTGATGTCAGCCACTGTCCCCACTGCATTGGCTGAAGGGGGGCAGATGTCCTCTTGATGTTTCGAGGCCTGACTCAAAGGCTGCCGCTTCCACGCAGCCCTCCCTGACTGCCAAGGTGGAACTAGCCCTTCCTTCCCCAGGGCTTCCCTTCACTTTGACATTCATCACAGTGGACTCTCACTGTCTGGTCCATGTCTGTGTCCCCAGCTGGGCTGTGAGCCCCTGCCAGGCAGGGCCTAGGTCCATCTCCAGGTCCCCAAAGGCTACCTGGGGCCTGACCTGTAGTGAGCACATGGGTGGAGCCTGTCTAACCCCCTGTGCTAAGGTGGGGACAGAGGGAAATGACAGTTTGTGGCTGGATGGGAACTGGAGGCCGGGCCCCCTGGCCCCTAGCCTGGGGCTCTGTGCCTGTCCCTGAGGCCAAGGGCGGTTGGATGGGGTCGGTGCTCCCTCCTGGGTGGCCTGGCGGACACGGCCACTGCAGGCAGGGCTCCACCAAGCCACACAAAGCGCCTCTTCTGCTAAGGTCCCAGCTCCCCTGGGCTGGAGCTGGTGGGAAGGCAGGCACTGCCGGAATGTGCTGAGCCTGCTGGCTTGGTGCTGCCCCTCCAGGAAGCCCGCCCGGAACCCCAACGGCCTGTGCCTCCTGCCCCCACGTCTGTGGTCCTCACAGCCCTTCTCAGGCTCCTGCCTTGGCTGCTTCCCCCCGACACACGCAGAGGCGGTGCAGGAGGAACACAGGACACGTGGCTCGAGTTATGCTGAGCACCCCAGGCCTCGGTCTCTGCCTCTGTGAAATGGGCTAAGACCCGTGCTTTCCGGGGTCACTGAGAACTCGAAGAGGAACCTGGAGCAGCACAGAGAGGAGTGCAGGCTCGGGAGCCAGGCTGCCCGGTAGGGTTGTGGGGCTCAGGCGAGTTACTCAGCCCCTCTGTGCCTCAGTTTTCCCAAGTGTTCAGTGGCTACAACAATGGAAGCTTCTTCACAGGGTTGTGGGGTGATCTACGAGTCAGGCAATGGAAACTCTCGGGACAAGCCCAGCACAGGGTGAGGACGTGCGGCGACTGGTGCCTGGTACACAGAGGGAGGGTCGTGACCTGCACAGGGCCTGATACACAGCGGGCCCGTAGCAAGATGTGCCGGTGTGAGCTGCGTTCCCCCCATAATTTGATTTCTCTCTACACCAACTCAGTCCTGCCGGGAAGTGTACACACAGTACTTGTCACCCCCAGCCCATGGGCACAGGGAGCCCAAGGGTTCCAGGACCAGGCACATCCTGCCAGGGCTCTGGGCCTGGCAGAAGGAGACAGCGGCCGGCCAGGACCCTCTCTCTCCTTGCTGGGGCCCGAGCTGGGCAGCGAGGCCAGCTGTGACTTGTGGGCCTGCCCCTATAAGGGCAAAGGGGGTGTACTCTGGAGTCGGGATGCCCTGGGTTCGAATCCCACCTCCACCCCTTACGTGCACTGTGGCTATGGACAAGTTGAGGGCCATCGCTGCGTTGTTCCCCATCTGTGAAATGGGTACAGTGACCCAAAGGCCTCACAGGGTAGGTATGAGCATTAAAAAACCCTGGCAGGGAGCCCACATCTGCTGGTCCTCCAGGCGGCAGCTTCCCGCTCTACCTCTTCCCCCGGGTCTAGGCCAGTTCCCCTCCGGTCCTCAAAGATCCTGATGGGGGTCCTCCCAGGCTGCTGGGACGGGGTTCACGGGGGCCAGAAGCCCTCGTGGGCAGTGAGGTGAAGCAGGGGCCTTCTCCCAGACATCCCTCAGCCCTCCTGGGCCCCAGCAAGATGGGGGGCAGATGCTCTTCCCAGCAGGGTCCCCTCCCGGGGTCAGATCTCAGCCCTGCTGCCCTCGAGGCATTGCTTCTGCCCCTCTGGACTCTCTCGACCAGAAGGGCCACACCACCCACCCAGAGCCCCAGGTGGAGCCCACGTAAGGCCACAGTTCCCAGCGGCCACACCCGCGAGCAGCGTGGCCTGGCACCCGGTCCCGGCAGTGGGCCACCAGACTCACCTTCGTAGAAGCGGATCTTGTCTCGCAGGATCACCATGCCTTTTGTCAGCAGCTGGTTCTGCAAGGCACACGTGGAGATGCTGTCACCGCCCCAGGGGTACCCAGGGCCCCCAAGGCTCCATCAACAGGCAACCGAGGCCCAGAGGGGGAAGGACTCACCGACATCCCAGTCCAGTTGTTGCAGAGCTGGAACCTCAGCTCCCTGGGCGCACGCGGGCAACTGACCCAATCAGGCTGTCCCAGATAGGAGGTGGTGCGGGGACCCCACCCTCACCGCCCCCGAGAGACAGGCCAGGCCTGGGCCTCCTGCTTCAGGCTCAGCAGGCGGGCAGGCAGCTGCCCCCGCATCCCACAAGGAAGGAGGGACTTTCGGGCAAGAGGGGCCCCGGGACCAAAGGCCTGGCTTGAGCGCTGCCATCACCCACTGCCATGAGGCTCAAACGGCAGCCCCCCTGCACTCTCACCCTGGGCGTGGCTGAGTGACACCACGTGGTCCCAGCAGCGGTCAGAGCAGCCAGAGAGTAGAAACAACCCGGGGACCACAGACGGACGGACGGATAAGCAAGACGTGGTCTCGCCGCACTGTGGAATACTATTTGGCCGTAAAAAGGGATGAGGTTCTGATACAGGCACAACATGGATGAACCTCGAAAACCCTGTGCTCAGCGAGAGAAGCCAGACACAAAAAGCAACGCGCTGTGAGATCCCACTGACGTGAAATGTCCACACAGGTGAATCCAGAGAGACAGAAAATGGACTAGTGGTGACCTAGGGCTGGGGGAGAGGGCAAGGGGGGTCACCTATCTATAAACACGCGCTTTCCTTTTGGGGTGATGAAAAAGCCCTGGAATGGGCAGTGACGGTTGCCCAACTCCGTGAGTACACTACACAGCGCTGAACTGCACACTTCCCGTGGGTGTGCAGTATGGTTAGGTGAATTACACCTCAACAAGGCTGTTAAACTAAAACAAACCAACCCTAAACCCACAGGACGGGAGGAGCCGCAGGCTGGTCCTCACTTCCCCCTCTCCCGGGAGGGGGGGGCCCAATGCTCCGAGACTGCGTGAGGATGCCCCTGCCTGCAGCACCTCCGCCTTCCTGCCTGTGCGACCTCGGGGGTCCTCTCCCCTCCCCGAGCCCCAGGGTTCCATGCGTTCATCCACTTTGCAAGCCTGTGGCCGCAGCGCCTGGGACAGCTCAGCCTCGGCGACGCTGGTGCCACGCTAATATCATCACCACGCGGCTCAGGGCCCTGGGGTTTGTAGATGACCCACCCGTGGGCTCTGGGGACCCACACCGATGCTCCAGGAGGAGGTGGACAACTAATCACAGAACTGACCTCGAGCCGCGCCACGTGCCAGGCAGAGTGGTGAGTCCTCACCTGCATCTCATCGTATAACCTACCCAACAACCCACACTGGCTAGACGGGGGAAACTGAGTCATGGCCAGGCGGAGACCTTGAACCCAGAGCTCCACGTACCCACCGGGAGCCAGCGGCCCCCACCCCCGCCCTTTCTGGCCAGCTCAGGAAGCAACCCCTCAGGAGAGCACAGAGCACCCACCTGTAGGTACTCCGTGAAGAAGGACCCCAGCTCCGTCTTCAGCAGCTGCCTGTGGGCGGGGGGGGCAGGAGTCAGAGACCCCACGGGGCCAGCGAGGGCTGGGGGCCGCCTGCAGCGGGAGACCCACCCCCTTAGCCCAGTGACGTGAGGACGTGACTACATATTTCTCCAAAGATACACAAATGGCCAATAAGCGCGTGGGAAGATGCCCCATCATGAGTAACCAGGGGGACACAAACCCAAACCCCGAGATGGCACTTCACCTCCACTAGTGCTGTTAGAATCAAAACCCCAGGCAGAAAAGAAAAAAGCCGGGCAGTAACAAGTGTCGGTGAGAATGTGGGGAAATTGAACCCTCACGCACGGCTAGTGGGAACGTAAAATGGTGCAGTCTCTGTGCACAACAGCTGGGCGGTTCCTCAAAAGATTAAAGATAGAGCCGATATATGACCCAGTCATTCCGCCCCTAGGTGCAGACCCGAGAGCAGTGGAAACGCAGATCCACACAAGGTCTCCTACACAGATGCTCCCAGCGGCGCTGTTCACAACGGCCAAAAGGTGGAAACAGCCCAAATGTCCATCGACAGATGAGACTGGATAAACACAGTGGTGTTTTTCACACAATGGGGTATTTCTCTGGCCATAAAAAGAAACGAAGCGCTGACACCTGCCCCAGCCTGGATGACCCCCGAGTATGGAGGACCATCACGCTGTTGAAAGAAGCTAGATGCAAAAGGCCAACACGTATGTAGTACGACTCCATTTATATGAAATGTCCAGGATATGCAAATCCACGGAGACAAAGTTGACTGGTGTCGGCCAGAGGCTGCTGGGGGAGGACGGGTAACCGGGAGTGACCGTTAAGGAGTACAGGCCTTTTTTGGGGCGGGCGATGAAAATGTTCTGGAATTAAAGAGTAATAGTTATACAAGCTTGTGAATGTACTAAAAACCACTGAACTGTACATTGTAAAAGGATAAACTGCATCTTAAAAAAACAAAATCTATGTCTATATCTATTTGGTGGTGGCCTGGGGCTGGGGGGAGAGGAGAATGGGGACTACCTGTCTATAAATATGGGGTATCCTTTTGGGGTGATGAAAAAGCCCTGGAATTAAAGACAGTTGCACAACTTCGTGAATACACGAAACCACACACACACACTCACACACACACACGTGCGCGCGCGTGTATAAAATGGCAGAACACAAGAATGACGGCCAGACATCAGAGCTTTGTACCCCTGCACCATCCCCGGCCCTTCTCATGGCTGGGCAAAGCCGAGGGATGCAGAGGCATATTAGGAAAATGGGGTTCCTGGGGCCCCACCCCTGAGTGGCCACATGAGCCCAAAAAAAGCAGGACCCCCTGCAACGGTCACACACATCAGGCCTGGGAGAGGCAACAAGCCCCTGCTGTGACCGCAGGCAGCCCCTTTCCCTCCCTGGGCCTCAGTTTATCTGCCTGTAAGGGCCACTTAGGGTTGGAGTGGGGGGACCCTGCCCCAATTACCCTTTTACTCCTGCCCCAAGCGGATGAGAAGGTTTGCTGCCTGTTTGTCCCAGATATTCTTTTGCTGTAGGGACAGGGTGGCACAGGCCAGGGCGTGAGGGAAAGAGCACAGAGGTAGGAAATGCCTCCTTGCGGCAGCTGTGACCCCGGGCAAGTCTCTCGACCTCTCTGAGCTTCAGCCTCCTCCACTAAAATGCAGGACTAATGCCTCGGCTTTGCAGATTCCCTCAAAGCTGGTCCATCCTGGGCCCCTTCACAAGCGCTCAATTCTCAGCTATTCACAGGAAATGAGGGGTACTCGGTGGGGCTGTGATTGCTTTTCTGGGAACAACACTCCCATCGTTAGGCAGGTGGGTCCTTCCTCTTTTTTTTTTTTTTTTAACTTTATTTATTTGATTTTGGCTGCGTTGGGTCTTCGTTGCTGCGCGCAGGCTTTCTCTAGTTGACAAGTGGGGGCTACTCTTTGATGCGGTGCACGGGCTTCTCATTGCGGTGGCTTCTCTTGTTGAGGAGCACGGGCTCTAGGTGCGCGGGCTTCAGTAGTCGTGGCTCACGGACTCAGTAGTTGTGGCTCGCGGGCTCTAGAGCGCAGGCTCAGTAGTTGTGGCGCACGGCCTTAGTTGCTCCGTGGCACGTGGGATCTTCCCCGGGCCAGGGCTCGAACCCATGTTCCCTGCGTTGGCAGGTGGATTCTTAACCACTGCGCCACCAGGGAAGTTCCAGTCCTTCCTCGTTTAACAGAACAAATACCCTTTGTGATGCTTAACACCAGCGGGGCATGTGGGCGTTATCTTGAGCCACTGTCCCAGTCCCTCCCTGTTTCCCCTGAAAAGGAGTCTTCAGGAGGGTGGGGGGTGAAGGCCACAGGACAGGGCCTGGGGTCAAGGTCCACGTGGTGGTCACCGCCCACCTGGGCTCTAAAGGCAGAACCTGAAGCTGGTAGACCCACAGGGTGGGGGGGGCAGGCCTCCCACCTGGCACAGCCCTCCCACCACTTACAGACCCAGGCCTGGATGGGACAAACGACCACTCACCGGACGCCCTCGTTGAGGCTGAAAAGCTCCTGGTCGGGCAGCCCCTTGCGCTGGAAGACGGCGATCACCCCGTTGTGGATGCTGCGTGGGGGACGGAAGAAGAGCGCTGCTGTCCAGAGGCCCTAAGACTCCTCCCCTCCTTCCCTCTCCCACTGAGCCCCTCCTGCTCTCCTCGAGGAACAGAAGGGGCCCGGTCAGAAGCAGGGCGCCAGTCCTTTCGCTTTGAAGGCAGGCCTGGAGCACAGGGACTGGCCGCCCCATCGGACCCCATCCGCCCCAGAGCCTCAATTCCCATCTTGAGCGCCAGATCCTGGGCTCCCAGCCGCAGCCTCCCTGGAGCCCCAGGCCTGCCACCGGTCACCTCTCCAGGCTGTCACTGGGTTACCTTCCACACACTCTGCCTCCCTTCCCATGTTCTTGAACCCTCTGCCTCCAGGCTGGAAACTAGGGGACACCCTCTGATGGTCTCTCGCACCCCCAAACATAACCAAGTCCAACTGGCTTTCTCACCCTGTGCTTCCAGGTGCCTGTGAGCCAGCGCCTGCCTCACTGAACTGGGTACCTGTGTTACCTGCACTTGGCCCCACTGGGGAAGCTGCCCTCACCACAGGACCTTTGCACATGTCCTTTCTTCTGCTTGGTCCCCACCCTCACCCCCCACTCCTGTCTACGTGGATCCTTCCTTCAGGTCACAAGAGGTCACAGCGTTTACAACACTTGTCAGTGTGCACCTACATGTTTATCCGTGACTCGTTTGATTGATTGGTTCCCACGGCTATCTATAAACCTCGGCGCGCAGGGCCCTGTGCCGTCTATGACTGTGTGCTCTCACCTGGCTCAAAGGAGCAGCCTGGTAGTTATCTGGTGAAATTCATCCTGACTCTCCCTGGCCCTCCAGATCCTACAGATCCTGAAGCCCCACCAATCTCTACCCGCTAGATCTCTGCTGCACCCTTCTCTCTCCTCCATGCTCGCCTGGCCTCTGATCGCATAGGTACCTCCTCACTGCACTCAGTGCCCCCTGCCCTGGGCCCTGCAGGTACAGCCCAAGGCCTGAATGTGGCATTCAAGGCTCGTCTGGAATGGTCCCTCCCCGCATTCTTGGGCACCCAATGCTCACAGAGTACTGGAGCCACCAGGGGAGCCACACCTCAGGGTCTTTGTACCCACTGCCCTTCCTACCTGGGCGGGGGGGGGGGGGGGGCTTATGCTATCTACTAGGCAAGTAGCTATTCATACTGGAGCCCTGGCTCAGAGGCCACTGCCTCCAGAAGCCCTCCTGACTGCCTCCCTTCCCCGTGCAGACTTAGGTCCTGGCACTCTGCTGGTTTACTTTCATGTTAGCCCTCACCACCAGCCATAAGCTCCCAAGGGGGAGAACCAGGTCTGGGTGGCTCCACCGCCCTCCACTCAGGACTGGATTGCTGCTCTTAACTCACCACTGCAGACGAGCTGTGTGATTCTTGGTGTACAGGGACGGCTGGACACGTGCTGCCGTTCACATCATGGAGCAGGTGGCGGCCACCAGGCTCCTGCTGCCCCTGTCTGCCCTCACCAGCCCCACCCTTCCCAGAGATGTGGACTGGCCGCCCACTTTGCAGATGACGGAACTGAGGCTCAGAGGGACCAAGCTCTGGGAGGCCAGAGCTCGCCCGACAGCTGCCCCCTCTCCCCACGGAGCCAGGTGTGGGCAGGGCTTCCAGTTCCGCACCCTGGAAGGGGCAGGGCAGGGTCAGGGCCCCGCACCCCAGGTGGGTGAAGGCAGCTCTGAGCAGTGCAGGGACACGCCCCAGGGGTCCACATCTGGTCCCGACCAGGCCAGGCCAGAGGCCTTGTCACCTGACCCGACGATGCCTGACTACCCAGGAACCTGGTGTTGAAATGTTGCTTATTCGCATGTCCAGGCACACATGCCCTCTAACTTCTGTTTCCTGCCTGTGAAATGGAGGCCGCGAATGTGCCCACCCCCAGGTTGCTGTCAGGATGAAAGCCCCGCCAGCGCCGAGCCTTGGTGTGTGGTCACAGCGGGGACTGTGCTCAGCTCTGTCAGAAGTGCCTGGTGAGGGCTTCCCTGGTGGTGCAGTGGTTGAGAGTCCGCCTGCCGATGCAGGGAACACAGGTTCGTGTCCCGGTCTGGGAAGATCCCACATGCCGCGGAGCGGCTGGGCCCGTGAGCCATGGCTGCTGAGCCTGCGCGCCCGGAGCCTGTGCTCCGCAACTGCAGAGGCCACAGCAGTGAGAGGCCCGGGTACCGCAAAAAAAAAAAAAAAAGTGCCTGGTGGGCTCCGGCGAACAGTCACAGTTAAAGCTGTTCCCCATTTACAGTCTGACGGGAAGTCTAATGGCTGCCACCCTGAAATCCTAACAGATGGGGACTCGTGCCCAGCCTGGGGGCTGCTGGGGGCAGAGGTCAGACC